ACATCCCTTTACATCACATCCCTTTACATCCTATCACTAGTTAATTGCCATTTGTTCTGCGTTTTCATTTTTCTTACAAATCATAAGCATCTAAAGTGGACGAACATGACCAGATCTTCTCCCCTAACCAGATCATAAGCATTTGCAGTAATTAATCAGAAGCATTTTCATTTTTCGTACAAATCAGTAAAAATTTAATCATATGTATCTTCTCCCCTAACCAAATCTTCCATTCATTTACTTCTTAAATTTTCAAAATACGGCATCCCGCATATATATTATGTAATGTATGTTTATAATCACAAGGCAGGGAATGAAAATTTACCTTTAATTTAGTTCAAATCACGGTTGCGATCCAACAAAATCTTCATTATTGTATCCTTCCAGTCGGGTTTTGGTGGTACTTATAGCCTTCTCACCGATTGGATTGTTTTGGGGGTTTAGGGTTCTTGAGGTGGGTTTGGGAGAAATGGAAATGGAAACATGCCAAGATAACAAGACTGAGTTTCGTTTACTACTAGCATAGGATTTGGCATATATGAATTTAGAATCGCGTTTTTGAAATTCGTTGTGGTGTGTTTGGATGCTCCTTTGCGTATTTGACAATGAGTTGGCGAATGAGAAATTATTTGGAAGTATTTAACGGGCCAGCTCAACTTCCCATTATCCATGTAGACACATCTATTAACGGTTTTAAATGGGTGAGTGATGGAGTTGGACGGAGTGAAGTTCAATGGCCAACGAGACAATTTTGGAAGTTCGGTAAGTAAGTCGTGACATAACCCAAGTTAGTGGCTAATTAAACATTTAACTCCTGATGGCTTCTCATGTTCTTAGGTGAGAACCGTTCATCGATAATATAAAATTAAGTGCAAAATTTGTGTTGATAGTTTTTCTTATTCTATATTTATATGTTAAAAATGCTTTTGTAATCTTGTTTTGATATTCTTGATCTTCATTCGACATCTATTGGACGATATAGTAAATTAAATTGAGCTTCGACTCTGAACCTGTCATTACAATACGAGCATATGAACTTCTGGAATGTATTTTCTTGGAGAAAAGATACTTGTTGTCAATACGAGATATTATTGTGACATCTAATTTAGTTGCTGATGAAGTGCATAAGGAGTTAGAATTTATGATTAAGTGGGATCGCAAGGCAAAATAATGATTTCATGATAACTTTGGATTTGTCCGTTTTTGGCGAATTAATAGTCTAATTTGAGTGGAAACAGGCCAAGGATCACAAC